ATTTTTAAGGTAGAATTGGGGTCATGATAGTGGGGGGGTTGGAAGCATTAAAGAAATAAGAGGAAAGTTGTATGCTTCATCAGTGCTATACTGCACCGACTGGCTCATCTCTTCCTTGTGACTCCTCTGTAAGGGGATGTCCAATTGTCTACAGACGGGCTTTGGGTCTCCACTCTGCACTCCCATTCATTCACATTGATATGATTTTTTTGTTCTGGGTCTTTGATGCCTGATACCTGATCCCATCAACACCTCATTTTCCCACAGGCTGGTGTGCTTCTTCCACGTGGGCTTTGTTGCTTCTCAGCTAGATGGCCTTTAAGATCCCAGGTGCTATATGTTTTGATAGCTAGGCACCATCAGCTTTCTTCACATTTGCTTATGCACCCATTTGCCTTCATCAATTGTCATGTTGGAAAGGTATCACGGAATGCCAGGTTAATAGAACAAAGTGTTCTTGCGTTGAAGGAGTACTTGAGTAGAAGCCCAGTGTCTGTCTGCTTCCTTAATACTTATCTTATCATATAAATATGTGTACATAGATCTATTTCCCTATCATTTTATATATATATATGTATGTGTGCATACATATATATATATACACACACACACATTTATTTGTACATGCCTGTATTTAAACCTCTGTAAATGTACTGTGTCTTCTAGTTCTTTCTACTTCCTTTTACTTTCCTCTTATCCCACTATCATGTTTGGCCTTCCTTCAGATTTCAGTAATTCCTCTCGGCTACATTGCCCTTGATCAAACCCCACCAGGCATCCTATGCCCTCCTCGCCATCAATTTCAAACCACTTGTTGTTCCCTTTTCCCTGGGTTTGTTGACACCCCCCTCACACTCTATGGTGTCCCCTGGAACCATTGGTCCCTTTGCTTTCTCCTCTGGATTGTTTATCCTGCTTATCTTCTCTATCGGCATGCAGAGACAATAATATGTGCAAAAACAAGACAGAGCAAAACAAAACAACAAACCAAAAAAAGCCTATAGTTTATTGACCTTTATGAGTGTTTTCCAATTGACTCTGAGGGGGTGCCACACCCTGGCCCCAAAGTCTATTTCTGGTCTTCCCCGGGGTTGTCATTGCTTTGCTCCTCTTGCTGCTCTATTGCACACCCTTAGCGTTTCACCTGGTGTGGTGGGGTCAGATCGGGCACAATCCCCGCACTGTGCCTCCAGTGTTGTCCCCCATAGCGCTATGGGTCAGTGAGGGTCGTGTCTCGTAGTAGGGTCGGCCCTATGGTTTTCTCTGTGCATTTGCTGCTCTGAACAGGAAAATTGTCCCTGGCGCTTAATGGGCCAGGATGTGTTCCAGTCTTTCCTTCCCTCTTCGTTAGGTCCTGTGTGCTGTGACCAGATGTGCCCCTCTCCCTGAGCTTCAGTGCTGTCCTTGGTGGGGAGTGGACGGGAATCAGCAGTTCCACGTAGTTGGCATTAGGGCTAGCCCCCCAAGACCTATTGACTCCTTGCTTCATGTCAGTATCAAAGTCATCTTTGAGGCTTCACCTTCCTAAATATGCAGGAGACTAGGGGAAAATCAACAATGAAAGCCAGGATACCAGTTACCACCCAGACTGAGTAATGTGAGGCGGGTTCCAGCTTGCTTTTGTGGCCTGGCTAAGCTCTGGTGACCATGTCCAAGTGCTGGATGGGCAACTCCAAGATCATTGGCTCAAACCCACCAGCCACTCAACAGATGATGTTTTCTGCTCTTTACACTGTCCTATCGGGTCGCAGAGTCAGAATCAACTTACTGTTCGTTTTCTCCCTGGGGTCACGTGTGTTGGACAGCTAACCTCAGGGTTATCTGCAAACCCATCAGGTGTTCCACAAAGGAAAGGTGACGTTTTGCTCCATAAAGATTTACAGCCTTGGAAAACCAAAAGGGCAGTTCTACTGTCCTATAAGGTTATGATTTAGAATTAACTCGGCGGCAGAGTTTGAGGATTTTTTTGGTTAATACTGCTCTGGAAGTCAAAACCAGCATATTAAGTGAAGAAAAATGTTTAATAGAAACTATCACTATTTATGATTATGTCCTTGAAAGGGCCAAAAGAACCCGAAAATTAGAATGCGAACTCTGCAAAGTTAAATATAAAACTAGCATACAGAAATCAAATTCCCAAATTGAAAATAAGAAAAAAGACATCAAATATCCGGGTGGCAGGAGAGGGAGAAAATGAGCTGATTACCAAGGGCTCAAGTAGAATATGTTTTCAGGATGAGGCCAACAAATGTACAAAGTGCTTGACACAATGGATGTATTATGAATTGTGGTAAGTCCCTAAAAAAATGATTTAAAATTTTAAAAAATCAAATTCCCATTATCTAATAATAGGATGACATTACGCATCTGGAAATTACTCAAGTAAATGACGTGAAAGTCTCTTTGGAGGAAACAATAAAACACAGAGAATGCTGTAAATACTTCCTTTCTCCTCCAAATACTTATAAAACCATTAAAAAAAAACAGGATGAAGTGGGAATAAAATCTTTTAAAAAACACACAAAAACACTGTCCATTGAGCTGCAGCCAACCCACAGTAGCCCTCTGGAGTTTTCGAGACTTAATCTTTACGGGGGTAAAGAAACTACCACTTTCTAATGTCTAACTTGTTAGGAACAGAGCCCAACACTGAGGCCCTGACAAGACACTAACCCTGAAGGCAGGTCTTCATAGTAAATGCAATCATTGGGCCCCTTCTTCCCTAGCACGGCCAGGAACAGCCCCCTTAAGGCAGGCTTACTCTGGGATGGGCTTACCTTCCCCATTTGTGGTGCTTTAGCTAGTGCCAGACACAAGACAACACAGGGAGTTGCGACAAATCATCTCGCATCTGACAGGCTGAGATTTAAGCGTTAGCTCCAGAAAGCACCTCAACAGGGTAAGGGTCCAAAACTTAAGTACCAACAATCAGAAAATATTTTGCAGTAAGTGTATAAACACTAAATCAGACTTCTATATACCATGGAATTCGGGACAGATAAACGCTTCAGAACAGTAATGGGAGCAGCAATATCATGAGGGTAGAGGAATGGCTGAGGAGGGTGAAGGGAGAACGGAGGACCCCATCACAAGGTTGGATACATAGCCCCTCCACCACCGCCAAATGGGCGAATAACAAATGTGGGTGAAGCGAAACAATGGACGATGTAAGATACAAAATAGTAATATATAACTGATCAAAGATTCACAAAGGGAGGGGGGGGAAGAGCATGATGGCAACATCTGTACAAATATGATAAAACACGTATGGAATGTTATGAGAGCTGTAAAAAGACTTCTAAATAATGCTAAGTACATTGGGAAAAACAAATAGATCCAGGAACTAAGGGAACAGTAGCCCGAAGATCCTCTAAGTTAGCTTGTGCCACTCATCTCCTAACTGTGGGCTCTGCAGTTAAAAGTCCTGGTCCCAAAAGGCCATGCACTTTCTTTACCAGGGCCCACAGTGAGAATCCAATACAACCACTTCAGCAGCAGATCTTGAAATTGTTGAAGTTGTTGCCACTTATGCCTACCTCTGATTCAGTACCAGGCCCAATTGCTCTGAATGTTTTATGTCTAATCCTATCCCTGGAGAATACTGAAATGACAACAGATACTCACTGAATAGGTTGGGGGTGGGGGGCCCTTGGGGAAAACTGAACTTTTCAAAAAGGAAGCTATTTGGAACTGGTACTATGTAATTTGTACTGTACCCCAAACCAAAAGAAAATTTACCACAAATTTATTTTCATGGGATAGTTATCTCTTTCCCATTAGAAATTATTCCCTAAGACATCTTACTTCTAACCCAAAAAAAGACACAAATACAAAAATATGCATTCCATTCAGGTGATTATTTTAAATTTTAATAATATTTTAACATTTAATATAAGCTATATACAACACATTTTATTGTATATTATGTAACATAACCACTACAGAAATTTACATAGATTAGAAGCAAAACTATGTGGATCCGGTTCTATGAGCAATTTTCTCAAAGGACACAGGTGACGTACTCAGGTCGAAGGGGGTTCACAATGGCCAATTAGGTGACAAGTAAAGAAAAGCTTAAACACCAGCTATGGGATAGACAACCAGACACTGAGTACACCAACATCCTGGGCCACCACTTGGACAGTGTCCACCTAAATCACCTGTATAGATTTCCATGTCCATGAGGCGAACATCCCTTTACAAAGAAGTCCTTTTCCCCTTAGGCCCAACCCAGTATTTATTAATCCCATAACTTTCAGTCAGTATTGGTCCATTCCCCCCAAACCAGGCATAACAATAGTATGCAATAATCCAGAAGCAAAAGAAAATTACCCTTGTTTAGTGAAAGAAATATTTGTTTGAAAATGGGAACTTTAAATTCTGCAAGTCAAGCAGTTCCCAAAACAAACTATCAGCTGGGTTCTGCTTTCCCATTTGCAGTAGTCGTTCCAGTGTGAGGCAACCGCGCAAGGGTTCGCTCAAAATGTCGGGATCCCTGGGCTCTGCATCCATCTATATCCATGTGCATCTGGCCCTAGTAAAAGAAATACAAATATTTCTTTATAAATTCATTCACTGTAGCTGAAAGCACGGAATTAACTCCTAATACTCACTTATGAAGGCAACAAGACAGAAGAAAGAAAATGACTCTGGGCAGTTGCCTCGCATTTAGCCATCTTTGTCCCTCAACCTGTATTAGAACCCAGTACTTGGATCATTCCTGAGACTCTCCCACCTGGAGGGAGGACTGGGGGATGTTTCTTCCAAAGGAAATGGCCATTCTCAGCTGAAGTTCCAGAATTGCCAAAAGACCACCGGAAGATAATCCTCTGGGCCTCTGCTTGAAACCAACAGCTGTGTGTAACTGCTAGTCTTCAGTCAGGGCCTGCCACAGCTATCTGACCCAAAGTTCAGAGAAGGAACCCAAATCACACCACTTGCCCTACTCTACAAGATACATCCCAGTGCTGAGCTCCCCACTGAAAGAAACAATTTAACTAAATTCCTTGCCTCGATTTTTTCTACGTAAACATGTACTCTGGGACATGAGAAGTCGTAAGGTGTTCCCTGCTGGCCATCTGGAGACCTGTAGAACCAAGAACTCAAGGAGTGGGAAATGCATTTTTTTATGTACCGTCCATACATGGTATCACTGAGCAAAAGTCATCTGGGCATCTTTACACTCTACTTGTGATGACCCCTCACTCCCTGAAGTTCACTGTAACCAGCAGCCAACCTCTGCCTGGTTGGGTCACTACATGAGGGAAGTCTGGCTAGGGTATGTTCTTCACTTGCCAATATATCCACTGTGCCTTCAGCAATTTCTTTAATTGAATGATCTTCAAGGGTCAGTGAAGGATCAAAAAGCAAAGGTGAAGGGGGGCACTGCATTCCGTCACCCACAACATCCAAGTCCTAGAAGAAGAGAGAGAAATGCCTATCAGCAATGCCAAGGGAAACAAACTACAAATGGACTTTTTCCCCTAGAAATCCTTCAAGTACTCCCCTCCACCCCTACCTCATCTTGCCTTCCTTTCGCACGCGCGCGCGCGCGCGCGCGCGCGTGTGTGCGTGTGCACTCTCCACAATGTCCAACAGACAGACAAGATCCAGAAGCACTCTGAATTTTGTGGCTGAGTAGAGAGCTCAGTACAGAC